GTTACAAACTGACTCCGGCCCCCCACCAGAGAAGGGAAAAGTTATGTGGCCCTTACAGGAAAAAGTTTGGGGACCCCTGGCCTAAAGGAAAACTGGAGCTGCACCTAAACCAAAAGCAGGAACAGGATTTCAGGAAATCTGTTGTCATATAAAAGTTATTTGATAAATTCAGCAGGACAGGAGTTCAGGAACTTTAATGTTTAGGTTTTTTTTTTTTTAACAGTTGTTACTTTTAGAAGAAAAAAGCTGTCACTACTAAACTTGCTCACTCTTAAATGTATGTAAATATATTATGTATATAACCTGAAGACCATGCATTCTCATGTTAAAGACATTTGTTTAGARGGGTTCTTATTCTGAGGGACTAGATTTTAATTTTGTTTCATATATTTGTAACTCCTGTTTGAGGTTCCACTAATCTGAGGCAGATTGGAGAATTAAAAGATCCACACCAAGCAAAATCCTGGGACTTAGGAGTATACTATGGTCTGGTTGCCCTTTGGAAACACAAAGACCTTAAATTTCTTTAAGCTTTTAATTATAACACTTGCTCTATTTTTGTCTTATGTTGCTTTTAGCTAGTGCTTTGCAAAATTCAATAGGAATTTTGGCTAATAATTAACTTGTTGCTAAAATTTTCTTGCTTTTAGCTTGTGTTTTGTTGAGACAATATTTTACRCATTTTAGCTAGCATTTGGCTGTTTTTCACTGTCATTTTATTACTAAGCTTTTAGCTCATTTAGGTACTTTTTAGCATTTAGCTAGTGGTTTTGTTTTCACTTTAACAACCCCATTTTAGCTTTTTCAGCAAACAGCACCTCACATTCATTATGAATTTAAGCAAAAAAAAAAGTTTTTTAAGTTCATCCAAGTGGAAATATTTAAAGACTTCTGTCCAAAATTATGTTTTTCTATTTTCTGAGAAAAGCAAACATTAAAAAGAACAACACTACTATGCAACTAAATCCTAAGGTTCCTAAGCCATTTTAATTTCAAATTTCTAAACCTTTTTAAAATCAGATTTTCAGATTTCTTGGTTGAGTTTCGGAAAGTAGGAATCAGTGGAGCTGAGTAATGTTCAGTCAACCAACAAAACAAGCTTAACAAAAAAAAAATGGAGCTAAAATGTGATGTAATAAACGAGTCACTGAGACAGTTTYTTAACAGTGATGTGAAAGTTCTCAATGAATTGTTCAAAACTAAAGTCATTTTACTGAAATGAGCCTCACCGACTACAGCTAGCTGCTCTAGCTAACAGCAAACAGACCAGGCAGCATGAGGTGGCTACATGGCTGCTACGCTAAAWGCTGGTTATATTGAGCTAAATGCTACGTTAGCTCTGTGGGAAAAGCAGTCAGCTCTGTGGTTCTGGATGTTGTCTTGAATTTTCTTTGTGAAGAGGATTAATTTAAAGTTGAATTAACACTACATTCTGTCAGTGTGTTCTAACGTTGCACCGTTGAACCTGGGTTTGTTGGAATTTTGCACAAATGTGTTTGGATTCCTTTATTTTGCATAATTAGGTAATTGTGTGGATGCATACAGAAAAGTAAATATTTCCTGTGTAATAGTTGGTTTTCATTTTCATAAAAAAACAGATCACTCTCATTTTTAAACGATCTTTTTGCAGAATGAATCAGTTTAGAAACAAAACGAGGGGAATACTCTGGAAAATGTTCCACCAAGTTAATCCAGACTCATAAAACACTAAAATTAAACACATTTCTAAAACAGGAACCGTGTATATTAAAAAAAAAAATAATTAACACGGCCGTAACCTTCAAAATCCAGGTTCTGCTCAACCCGTTATATAAAAGAGAGGCTACTTTTTGACCGACTGGATCTTTATTCAAGCAGCTTCCCCACAAGCCTGGACCAAAATATTAAAACCACCTGAATCATAAATCGTGTATTAATATTAATTCTGCAGAAGGAAAGACATTTCATCTCTAGAAATATAGTAGTAATAAAAATAAAAATGTTTTTTTTAATTATGTTAGACCTAAAAATCTTTTCACTCTTGCTGACCTGCAGCATTGAAAAAATATAAATCTTTATGATTAACAGGTAGGTTTGTTGCTTTGGTATCCAACCAAGGAAATGATTTAAGTATTGCAACTGATCAGAAAGTAGAGAAAAGAAAAAAGGTCTAGATACAATRTAAATACACCATTACGTTTTGGGACATACTGATAAAGTAATACAAGAATAATGCATGATGGCTGAAATTAGGGTTATCTCYAATATATACAAAAAAAATAAAAAATAAACACCAAACTCTTCAGATATTCTAATTAAGTGCTTAAATAGGTTCAAATATGAGGAAAAAATTCCAAGAATAACGTGAAAGAAACTTCAGATCTTTGCAGGTTAGTTTGGTTGTATTATTGCAATTTAAAACAGAACGTGCAGCCAATGCAAACACATTAAAAAATGAAATACAATAAAAACAGTAGAACAGGTCCAAGTGGTTTGAAAAAAAAAAAAAACGATGTTAAAGTTGTTCATACTGTATCGTGTTTTCATTCCAAGTCTTTTCCTCGCTTTAAATTTTTCATAAATATCTAACCTTCATGCAGTTAAAAATTTGGGACGTTAAAAAATGCCCATTGCTGCTGCTGCCGGTGGTGGTGGTGGTGGTCCGGGGGTGCGTGGGCTCTGTGAGGTGGTGCTGCTGAATCCGTTCAGGCAAGTTCAGAAGGATGAGGCGGCGCTCACTTATTCAAGCGACAGTACATGTCTCTCTTGCTGCGCTCCCCGGCCCAAGTGCGACTTTTGTGGCGAAACTTCCTCAGGTCCTCCCTGAAGTCTTCGTGGACCATAGGTCTGTAGGACTGAGGCTCACACTGGGACTGACCAGGACAAGAAAACAAAGTCAGAGCACTGAAAAATGTAAGGTTACACTCACTGAGAGATCTACTGTAACAAAAAGAGGCTAAACAAAGAACTTCTATTGTGACAAATGTCTAAACCCAGCGTATAAGCAAAAATAGTGATAGCAGGATGGATGTTTTTTTTTCTCCATTCAATGTATCAACAGTGTTGTGTGAGGTGATGAGTTCAAGAACGATGGTGAAGCTGGAAAGGAGGAGTGATTCTTTTGTCACTCAGCAGGGTGCTAGCCACGTTAAAACCAGACCCGTTCTTCACTTTGCTTCGTACAGAGGGTCTGGACTCACGGCTATAGAGAAGTGATTCTTGCTGGAGGCGTGGCCTCTGCTGAGGTTTAAAATCATTGGATCGGTTGGCCATGACGTATGTCGCCAACTCCACTGTGAAGAAGGCTAAGCTAAGAAGCTAACTGGAAATAGCGTGTGCTGTTAACAACCCTACTGAGAGGAGAGAAGTACCGAGCTGAACGAGACGACRGTAAATGAGAGCTGCTGCTTTGTCAGACAAATTTATTTTAATTTGGAAGCCTTATCAACACAGACTGGTTTCATTCACTTCCTCCACTGCCGTATGCTAAACTAACTAGCAGACACTGCGCAGAAAGTCAATGTCATTCAAAACTCCGCCTTCTGTTCTCTGATTGGCCCAGACGAAAATTCTCCTGAAGAAATTATTCTCTATGGGAGAAGTCCCAGACGGAGCAGTGAAGTGAAACTAGAATTGAGCGGAACTACGTACGAAGGCTAGCAGGTAGGCCTGTCACGATAAATTTTGCTGGGCGATTAATTGCCTCAAAAATTATTGCGATAAGCGATAATAT